CTAATAACGGGTGCTCTCCTTTTTTTACATTTGCTTTGACAGTATATGGTCTAACAAATCCTAAGGATCGTCTCAAAACATGGTGTGCTGACTGAAAATCAAAATATAAATGACTGCCTATTAAAATTACCCCAAACCAGTAGTGTATAAAGTGCCAGTTCAAGTCGTTTGCTTAACTTATTGGATAGAGTAGCTACCTACTTAATCCACTGCCTTAAATATCTTGTAGAGCATATGGTTAATTTAAGCAGTAAAATTTCTGCTTGTTCTGATAGAATATGTTAAGTACGAATGCTTTACTTCCTAAAAACTTGCAAGTGCCTTTTGAACTGTCTGGTTGCTTAATGTTATAGCTGACACACTTGCGTCTCTTTCAAATGCACTGGGACAGGCGTAGAGGAAGTGCAAGGAATTTACTCCACTTTAGGCTGATATTTCCGCTTTGTAGGTAGAATTGATGGCGGATGCGTATATGGTGGCTTCGGGACTGCCAGCTCATAATGGACGACGCCACTATGGCTCACAACCTTCTTTGTGCTTGTGGGACTTTCACCATTAAACACCTATCGTAGGTGCCCCTAATGTTACGCATTGATCTGCATAGCTTTCAGTCGGATGAATACCCTAGCTAGTTCTATTCTAAGCTATGCTTACTTGATGCCTTTTGAGATAAGCAAAGGAATATCAAAGGCACTCATATAGTTCCTTCGGTAAGGAGGGCAATCTGAAGCTAAGTTTAAGATTCCGCCTTAGTCATTAGTCGTATTTGGATACGCAGGCTTCGCAGTGCTGTGCACTTTATGCCGCTAACGTCCCACTTGTGGCCCATCCCAAATTTCCTATCTTACAAACAAGCCTTTTAATCTAATTTTATTTTTGTGGCAATTAAGTCATTTGCAAACAGTTGATGCATGCTGATATATTCAAACAATAGCGAATTTCTGGTCTGGTGGTGGGCAAGACGCACCACTAAAATCCTCCATATAAATGCAAATTGGATATAAAAATGATTCCTTCATTCGTAGTCAATTAAATAATTCCAACCCTAATTTTTCCTCAAATGTTAAGGTAAAACATGCTGAAACGTAGATTTTTCTTGCCAGAATAGCCCTTTGAAGCCATTTGTAAATCTGGAAGTAGAGACCGAATTGAAGGCAAATGCACGACGCGTTGGTATTGGTGCAAGGTCGGAAATGCGAAAATACGTGTCAAGTGACAGTACTGCGCATGTAATTGTGTTGGTCAGCCCTAAGACAATATCAAGCTACACCAAACGTCATATGAGGCGAAATTCATGGCATTTCGATGGAGCACTTGTTGACGATTAAATCCTGTGAAGTACAACCATTCCGGGTTTTCATTTGAGAAATCAGACACACTGTTGCATATATACAGAGGCACTCTATTAATAGAAAACGCGCCTGTATTTTTGCATGTGCAAAAAAAACAGGAAGGAGGGATTTAGTTGCCAAGATGGTCTAACATAATGCCTAATTTGCACAATAAAGGTTGGTAAATTGGGACTAACACCGATTAGACCGAATCCAAAGGCAGTTTGACTTTCAACACTTCTCAAGATTAAGGAGATCAAATTTACAAGAGGTCTTAACATGCCAAGGTTGATCTTTGTGCGCAAATGCATAATGAGGACCATAAAAAGGAGGAGCCAAGTGAAATAGGTGTCTGCCTCGAATGTGCCGCCTACAAATCACGAGTTAAAATGCACCACTGATATTTCAGTGAAAGGAAAATGGAGTGTAATAGCCTTATGGATAAATAAATTGTTTATAAGCATATTGTATACTAGATCAAATTGATGTCGTAAGTCAATTAGGCAGCATCGTTAATATACTAAGAATATTTACTTTAAGATCACACCAGTTTTAATGGAAACCGCATAGTTGTTTTGTTAGTGCATTGGTGTAATGGAAGTTTGACATAGCGAGCACTCAAAAATTGTTTAGCATTTCTAACCATCCAAAATCAAGTCTAGCTTTTCTTTTCCCTTATTCAAGACCACATTTTACCTTTACCGAATGCACAAATTCGTAGCTAGACGGATTAAGAAGCATCAATTGAGGTCACATTATTCATTCAGATGGGACGAGTTGAGAAGAACGGATGTTCACTCGCAGGATTTCGTGAGACAGACCACACGATTGTCAGGCTTAAATTTACGTAGCCTGATTTTCCAAATTGCGTCTCTGCGCACCTACAAAATAGCAAGCATAGGCGTTGCCTTTGACATCGATTGCGCGTAGCATGGTCCATTGTATGAATGCAGAAGTCGCCTAGTACCTCAAAAACACGATATCTCATTGGCTGATGAGATTGTAGTACCTTCCTATAAATGCACATTGAGTTTCCAGTGCAGGATACTTCTGTCGTGTAGATGGAGCTTCATTTCTGCCTAATTTTGCCAGCGATTTCAATTTTTGCTGAGAGAATCAGAGAGGACTCTGGTAAGATGCCTTTTAAAATTTAAGTCGCATCAGCATACAACTTGAATCATTTAATCAAGTCCAGTATTTGCAAGGTGCGTTTTATATTTATCACATCCCACATAGCTGTAAGAGTCCATGTTAATTTTGTTTGTATTGGTTAGGGGATGTAAGGCATGTTTTGGTGGATGCATTTCAACTCGTTAAGAGCTGGCAATTAAAATTTTGCTGGTGATACTTTGAATACTGCCACTCGTTTGTTAATTTGTCGCAGTCAAATGTTGACACTATATTCTTACTGTTGTCCCCTTCCGCCTCAGTTTCACCCAGGTAATGCAATCAAAGTGTAGGTGAATAAATAACAAAAACATCCACACTTAGACATGTAGTCCCAAATATTGACAATAGATTGGTTCAGTGCACTTCACAGCTACTCATCACTGCACCCAACTTTCATGTCTACACGCAATTTGTGTACACTAGGGTAGTTAGCACATTGCCTTGTTGACATTACGCTTCACTTGAGCACGCGAAAGATAAAAAGCGTTAGGAACATACTCACATCAAGCACAATTCCTCTTCCATACACTGCCGTTGACTACATTATCTGCAAACAAACCCAGCGCTGTCACTAATACCTTATCCAAAGTCAGGAATGTCAGTAGCATCTATCTGCCTGAATGCTGGCTCAAAATAAAAAGAAGTGCAAGGATTTGAACTTAACGTCGGATACACTCATATTATATTTGTTATAACTTTGACCGTAAATGTTCTGCGTATATCAAAATAGACATTAAATAGACGCATGGCTCTCCTGATCATGCCGGGAGTTTTGTCCACTGCTCAGCGCAAATAATTGAATATACATTGGATGAGAAGATAGGCTGCGAAAGCTTATCACTGAATTAAATTCCATGATTTATTACCAAAAAGTGATTAAAACCTCAACTGGTATTGCCAATTTTGCGAAAAGTGCTCTTCTTAAAAAAAATTGGCAAACGTGGGTGTAGGCGTGATCCGCCTTCGCATAGCAACGGATAACACTCAGCAATTCTTACCGCCGATGGAGCATACAGGTGAAATATTCCATCGTAAAGGAAAACAGTAAAGTCCCCTTATCCACTGCCACTATTGTCATTATATTTGGATATAGTGTGTAACATTTTTTGCCATCAAATAGAACGGAATAAATACAAAATAATTGATAAACAATGCATTTTTCCAATTTGTTTTTGTAGGGTTAATGGCAACAGTGACAAAGGAATTAAATACCACACTCCCAGATCACTTTCAATGGATTCGCGTGGGTTCGCGTTCCGTTGAGTTGGGATGGGATGCCATCGGTTTAGCAAATCTCCACGCAGACCAAATTAAACTAAGTGCGTACTTTTATTCAACCTCTGTCATCTACAAGTACAAAGCTGTTCCTATCTTAAGTGAGAAGCTCACTCTTGATGGACTGGAGCCCAGTACACTCTATGAAGTGGTTGTGCAAGCACTTAAAGGGGATTCCGAAGCGTATAAATATACTGGATATATTAAGACATTGGCCCCAGGTAAGTTCGCAGGTATGATAGTAATGTAGACTCCACACTGAGGGTGAATGCTAACCAAACTTTATCTTTGGCAGCAGTTCCTGTCTTATAACACTATACCACAAGTTAGGCGCTCTACAAGGTGTCAGTAGTTAATCCTCGATGCTGCAGAGTTCACAGTTGGGCGATCCTGGTGTGCTACGTAATAGCACTAACAGAATGTCATTTTTCATTACAGGGGAAGATGGAGCCGAAAGAACTAGCGGATTTGCCTTGATTTTTATAATTGCTGGGCTCCTATTACTTTTTTGAAACTTCTTGTAAGCCAGTAAAAGTGATCAACATCTGCGTTTGTTAAAACTAACGACCCCTCACTTGCTTATATCGTGCACTTTTTTCCCACTTCAGATTTTTATTGTTTAGGAAATGCAAAAGACTCCATTTATTCGCATGCACCAGACAGTAATGGTAATTCTTGATGTTTCTGTACTATTTTTGTTAAATTGGAATAACTATACTCCTTTGTAAAATGGGGTCGATTTTTATTAACAGTATCAGTAGCCCTCCTAATTTTCATGCCAATGGACTACAGATTCAGGAGGAAGTTTAATTCCTTTGGGGAGATAGACATCGTTTGAGCCAATTTACCTAGTAACATGAGTATCTGTTTACAGACCTTAAAAGAACAAAAGTATATTAGCGCAAGCAGAATCGGTAGATGCGGTGCTTTGTGTCCAAAGTATTAGTTTTCTGCATGGTGCTCTTTCGAGATATTTTACGTTAGAGCTCTTAGGCCCATGTTAAACTTATCACCTTTAAATAAAAGGCTATGATGAGTGGAATTTAAATTCATGCCTGCTCTAATCTCCTTCCAGACCAAATAATTACACAGCAAATTGGTAGCAGCTATGTCGATGCACCTAGTTTAGACACTGCAGCATTTGCAGTAATTACTAGTTTCCAAAACTGGTGATTAAAAGATCAACCACAAGAAATTGAATAACCGGCTCGCTATCTGCTAATTTTACTCTGTGCGAGTGTTGTATTTGCCAGAAGAGAATGAAATACTAATTTACCTGCGGCTGAGAATGCTGACGATTGTGGTAATTTTGGTGTAAGAGCGTTATGATGACAGTCTAGGCCTTTTGATTCTTCACTGCACGTACAGTCCTACATTGCATTTGCTACAGCTCTGAAATTCATGGATATTCATGAGGTGACTGTATTTGCAACATCTTAGTGAACATGACTTCACTTATGAAGATTGCACATTTGACATCTGCACACTGTCTACACATCGAGTTAATTAGCGCTAAGCTTCTATGCTACAGGGCAGCTATCTGCACAAGGATATGGTTATACGAGGGATTAGTCCTGTCTCCTAATGCGCCTGACGCCACGCTGCATGTCAATTTGTAATGGAGTGAGTTTCGAAGAAAAGATAGCCAATGCAAACCAACAAATAACCTACTTGCCTTAAAGGATCTTCTTCACTTAACTTAGCACAGCTAGCAGAAACGGAGCCAGCGCTGAATTGAACCAACAATTTTGCTGTGGGTTGAAGGTCATCACCAGCAAATACTGACACGTTGGGATTCACCAAACGCCTGTTGCTTCTTACTTTTACTAGCAGTAAATTCTAGTGTGCTACTTTGTACCTATGCTACATTTAGCGCATGATTTGAGCATGGCTTTTACCATCGCACTGTAGAAGAGTTCATACAGGTGTCGCCACAATACTTATCATGAACCCGTGATTGTGTAAAATTATTTTAGGTTCAACCGAATCCACTGCATAATGGCTCCATTCCATTCTTTCTCATCGCCTAGTAGTTATAAACTCATCTAGAACCCTCACCCATTTCGAAGCCATCCAAGACCATATTTAAGAGCACTAACGCTGAATATGTTTATCACGGCTCAAACAATTCTTTCTCACGATTTGAGGTAGAAAATTGCTTTTTACAAGTAGAATGCATCTATAGCTGCACTTCGGTCCCTCAGCCATCGGCTCTATCATTAGGTTTGCAAAAAGTTGATGCTAGTAACTACCTCTACCCAGAACATTTGACTTAATTTTAGTATAGGATGTTTTGACAAGACGTCCCAGTTAGCATGTGATAACACTACGATCTTGCACAAACCATTGCAGTGAAGCCATAAATAGATGATATTTATGAGGATTCGAGTTAAGTCTTATGCATTCTTTATTCGTAGAGGGTCTTCTTCCTTCACTTTTTGTTCTTCGGTTTACAATTGAGTGCAATGATTCTCTTCAACATCCTTGTCCATAGCGGATAGTTGCAATCCGAACTGCACTCGGGGTCGAGTTAGTCCCTGTTCGTCACGCTCTATACAGCTATGTTGTTAAAGGCATACATAAATCAAGCCTATGCTAGATAAATTGAAGCAATTAAGCTATCAAATCACGTCGGCTGGTTCCTTCAGCCATGTTGCCTAACTCGTGCCTGTATTGTTTATCGATGCATTTCCATTGTATTTGGTAGCACCGGTATGTCTAGCTTCTCAGGTAATAACTATGGTCGCATGTTTCGTTCGAGGTTTAATGGGCATGACTTACTCCACCGTAAAGGGTGGAATGTAAAATTGTGACACAGTTAGTGGAGATAGGCTTTATATTAATGTAGACCTAAAGAGGAATACATGCAGTCCTAGTTATGGCATAGGAAGTGTGTGTCTTCAGCCACACCTTTTAAAAGCTTTTGCATTTCCGAAATTGCACCTGCGCAAAAGAATTGTGCATTCAGCCATGGACTCACAACATGTCACGGTACAGGTGTTTATTTTGACGGGATTCTCTAACTAAAAAATCGACTATGCTTGGTAATTTACTTTAACATAAGATTTTATTTTACTGTATTTATGGTACATCCAAAGTTAGAATCTTTTAGCTGACTAAATTTGTTAGAAGGTCAATTGGATTAGATGATTTAAATAATTGGCAGCGCCATCGTTTCGATTAAAGAATCTGCTACCTGTGAGGCGTTCCTCTCGCCTTTGTTCAGTTTATTGCATACAACCTCATCAACATCTTTTAGTTGTCCTCCGTTGATTTTATA